CAGCCCTCTGGGCGACAGGTGCTTCAACGAGGGTCTCTTTCCTCTTCCACGACCACTCCTGCCTTCGGGGAGGGAGACCCTCCCTCTTGCCTCCCTGGGTTTGGGGGGGAGGGGGCCGATGTGTCAGAGGGTCCTTTTTTCGGCCCCTGGGAGAGTCACTTGTCGACACTCCTCAAGAGGATCGTGGCCCCCGAGGGGGGGAGCAATATGTAGGACCCCCCTCTTTTTGACCGACCGCCTCCAAGATGGCCCCCCGAGGCCCCCCCGGGGCTCCCAAACGGCCCCCAAGAGGGCTCTAAGAACGCCCCAAGGGGCCCCAAGAGCCCTCCAAGAGGCACCCGAGAGGCACCCAGAAGGCCCCCAAGCGGCCTCAGAGAGCCCAAGATGACCTCCAAGATGGCTCAAGACAGCCCAAGCTGGCCCAAGATGGTTCCCAACATGCTCCCTCGCTGTTTGACTATGCGTATCTCTTCCTCTCTCACCTCGTCAGCTCTCATGGGCATCGTTTCTGGATGGGTTGGTGGAGATATTTGTTGGTACGCGGGCGCACGAAGCGGGTCGAACGCCGGGCAAGCAGAGGCAGGCTGTGCCACCAGCTAAAGGAGTTGGCGGGGATTCTTTTTTGGTCGAAGCCACGAGACGAAGGTCAGGCGGCAAGAGCAAAGTCCGGGACGCGAGCTAGGCGAATTAGCTACAACAGGCGCAGGCCGGCCGGCCCACTCAGACAGCAGCCGCGAAGCTGGTGGGGGGGAGCTGACGGCGGATGGCGCCCTGAGAGCTCGAGCGCGTGCACAGGACAAAGTGTTTCGGAATTCAGTGTTTGCCATGGCACAACCCACACAGTAGAGACGTGGACCAGGATGGTCACGTCTGCCATGCTGGGTGATGGCGAGTAGGAGGCCATCGGAGTGAGTCGCCAGTGGGGCGCCAGGCTCCAAACGCCCTGACGACTTGAGCAAGCCAGAAAGGCTGAGCAGTCGTGAGCCGTGGTGCAACGCAACTAGGGAGGCTGAAGGTGAGCCCAGAAGGCTGTACCTGCTGCGGAAGGCTGTACCACTCTGCAACGAAGCCAGCCCCTGTCAGACCACCCCACAGCGCACGGGGGAACCGAGCGACTGTGAGCCACGCAGCGCGTGCCGGCAATGCGGGGCCTCTGAGTGGGGGGGGAAACCCGCTGGCGTGGTCAGCATCGCCAGCGAGGAAGAGTAGGGGGGGCTGCACTGGTGGTGGTGGTGCCCTGAAGGCGAAACTGGACTAGCGCAGGTGTCTCCCCAAGAGAACAGGTCGAGCTGTACCTCCCGGGGCACGTGGCGCCAGTGGGAGCGGGGAGTGCCGATGCATCGGGCGATGCGCCTGGGGGGAGCTGCACAGTGGTAGACACGAGGGCCACCGGACGCAGAGTCAGACCAAGCCCGCCGCTGGCACTTCCGCCCAAGACTCCCGGAACGTCAACAAACACCACGTGGTCCTCCAGGGTCGCAGCTTATCGCCGCTGAGAGTGATAAGACAAACCACGCACAGCGAGGGACACGGGCGGCCCTGGGAGGGTGGGCAGCACCACCGACGTCGGACAGTACGTCTGGCGGGCCCCGGGGCCAAGGGCGGGGGACACCCGCCTGGCCCCAGAGGGGAGAGGCGGGGGGAACGCCGCCCCTCCCCTCGGCCTGGCCCCGAATCCGTGGGACAGGGGAGGTGGTCATTGGTTCCTCCAGGGTCGCAGCTAACCGCCGCTCAAGACAACGAAATGGTGGGTGGGTCCTTCGAAGGTTGTAAAGGCCGAGGGAGGGTGGGGTCCTACGTGGACCTCAGGCTGCGCTGGATGCTGGTCCGTCCCCGCGGAGAGTGATACTTCTGCGGGGATGGTGGGTGTTGGTCCTCCAGGGTCGTAGCCAACCGCCGCTGAAGTCTGTACTTGCCAAAACTGTGACCTGGCTAGGTCGAGCCCGCCGCCAAACAGGCGGGGGGGATGCAGTGGCCGACCCTCCGCCTCCGGCGAGCGGGTCGGCTGTCGTCGTCGGACAGCAAAGTGTATGAGCCCGGAGCCTGTCTGCCCGGGCCGGGCCGGCCCCGCCGTGCCCGAGAGGGTGAGATGTCGGGTGCGGGGGGGGAGCCCCTCCGCGTCGGGCCCGAAAAGGAGGGTAGGTCCACTTGTCCAGTGTGGGCTGTCTAGCTATGCCGCGCCGTGGGTGAGATGTGGGGCTAGCCTACGCCCCGGCGGAGGTTGCCCCCAGGTATTACGGCCTGAGCCGGGCGCGGCGAGGTGAAACTGGCTGGCGGGGATTCGCGAAGCGTCAAGAATTGTTACTCATTATCCTTCCCTCATGTGTCCTCTTCCTCTTCCTCTTCCTCTTCCTCGTTCTCGCCTTCATTGCCCAGCGAACTCTTCCCAGTCCTCCTCCGATTTGTTTGCGGAGGCTCCTCCTAGGCGAACTTCTAGAGGACCTCGCGAAAGCTTTTTAGGTGCTCCTTGGGCGCGTCTGGAGACGTCCCTGGCGCCTTTTGGCGGCCTCTGGGAGGGCCCTCGGGTCACAATTCGGATGTTTCTGGAGGGCGTCTTGGGACAATTTCAGCCCGTCGGAAGGGGCCATCTGTGGGCAGTCTATGAGCCCTCTTGGGCCGTCTTGGGGCTCTCGTGGACTGTCAGAACCCTTTTTGTTGGTCGTCTTGGAGCGGTCTTTGGTGCCTCTCGGGCGGGCCGTTCTCGGACGCCCGGCAGACCGAATAACCGAGCAGCCCAGAATCATACAAAAACCAATCGAAAATCAACCTTTTTTGCGTTTCGAAAGCCTCTTGGGGATGACATTTGGGCCGTCTTCGGGCGTCTGGCGGGGGTCCGGGGCCGCTGGAGGCCATCTTGGACCGTCTTTGGAGTCTCTTGTGACCGCCGCCGACCCGTGTGCACGGCTTGGCAGGAACTTACAACAGAGGCCCGGAAATCTCGCGGGACCCTCTGAGGGGGCGTCCAGGAGCCCTGTACGCGGGGGATCCCGTTTCAGGTGGGGGGGCAGGGGTTCCGCAGGGTCTGGATTATGAAAAGGAGCATATGTGTATATATACATATATGTGTGTATAGATGTAGATTAAAAAAGCTTTGCTTGTTATGTGGGGCAGTTGTTTACGACGCTATCTCCAAACTTAACAATTCGAAAAGTAGGTTCTCGCTGGCGAGCGAATACTATTCCAGCCCCTTGCCACATCTCGATGGCGCACGGTTCACCAATGGCACCGTCGCCGAAATGGAGGCCACCGATTTCAATGTTTCGCAGCCAAGGCGTTTTGATGCGGCACAGTCGCCAAGTTCTGGCATGCGACAATATAAAGAACTTGACAGTGCGTGGTTGCGTGGCAAACGACCCCTAATAAACTAGCCTGGCGAAGGACCCAACCATACGCAGTTGTGAGCGCAGCAGTTGTGAGGATCGTCTTCGGTGGAACTCCCTATGGGGCCACGAAGCGTGTGAAGGGAGTGCCGATTTGGGGAGAGAGGGGAGGGCGCATGTGAACCCTCCCACTGGGGCCTACGATGGAGCTCCCTATGGGCCCACGGAACGTGTGAGGGATGTACCGCAACGGAGGTGTCGCCCACATGCGGGCGGCGCCACTGGGGCCTACGATGGAGCTCCCTGTGGGGCCACGGAACGTGCGAGAGGTGTTCCGAAGCAGGGGTGGCGCCCAGATGCGGGCGGCGCCACTGGGGCCTTAGGTGGAGCTCCCTGTGAGGCCACGGAACGTGTGCGGGGTGTTCCGAAGCGGGGGTGGCGCCCGGATGCGGGCGGCGCCATTAGGGCCTTAGGTGGAGCTCCCTATGGGGCCACAAAACGTGTGAGGGGTGTGCTGGAAGGCCACGAAACGTGTGAGCGGTGTGCCGAAACGGAGGTGACGCCCACATGGCGGCGGCGGCACTGGGACCTTGGGTGGAGCTACTTGCGGAGCCACGAAACGTGCGAGTGGTGTGCCGAAACGTGAGTGATGACGATGATGACGACGACGACGACGACGACGACGATAATGACGACGACGACGACGACGATGATGATGATGATGATGACAATAATAATAATGATGATGATGATGATGATGATGATGGTGGTGATGATGGTGATGATGGTGATGGTGATGATGGTGATGGTGATGGTGATGATGATGGTGATGGTGATGGTGAGGATGATGATGAGGAGGAGGATCATGATCATGCTGATGCTGATGCTGATGCTGATGCTGATGCTGATGTTAGGGCTGACGATGATGATGATGATGATGATGCTGATGATGATGATGATGATGATGATGATGAGGATGATGAGGAGGAGGAGAAGGAAGATGAGGATGAGGATGGGGATGAGGATGAGGATGCTGATAATAATGATGATACTGACGATGCTGACGATGATGAGAGGAGGAAGGGGCAGTGGGTGGGGGGGAGGGGGGAGGAGGAGAAGGAGAAGGAGAAGTGACGCGGGGCGCTGTCTCTTCAAAACGAAGACCGAACACCACAGGATGGTTGGGGAAAAAACATGACTGACAGCTCGCTGTTTCTGCGTTATGAATCACGAGCCGCGTCTACATCGCAAAGCGGGGGGGGGGCTGGGAAGGGCGACTGCGGCATGCCACTCCTTGACAAAAACCTTGCCCCGATTTGTGGCCGCAGCGATCGCCGCGGCGACCTCCAAAACCGACCCAGAGATGTGTTTCGGGGGCGGAAATCACGCAACTGAGTATCGTTTATCCGATCCCCATCCCCAGCGGCGTGGCCTGGGCCCCACTGGCCGATTTACCCCCCTAGATAGGTATGTAAGCCGTTCCCTTCGGGTTTCGAGGGGTGTATCCCCAACTGGGGGGTAATTTGGTGGGGGTCTCGAAGGGGATGGGGGTGGGGATGGTGATAGGTTAAACGAGACCGAGCAACGAGTAAAGGACCCGTTCCAAGCGAGACCCACCTCCTTCACTGCAGCTCTCCCTCTGGGCGCGCGCACTGCCGGCGGGAGCGCCGGCGGGCGCACTGCTTGAGGCCGGCGCCCTTATCGGAACGGGAGCGCGGCAGCATCACGTACTTCAGCTTCATCCCGATCGACCTGCTCGAAACACGAGCCCGACTATCATATTACATATTACAGTCAAGTAAGGAAGCGCGATAAGAATGCAAGGGCCTTGGACGCCCATTTCGGAGCTTTTCGAGCGGGGCACGGCCAGCGAGAGTGGCCAAGGATAGACCGAGGAGGCAAGGCTGCAAGGGTATGCCCTTGGGAAGGTTGCCCGTCCTTACTATGCGGGTTGACTGTAGCGCCCGTGACTGGCCCCGCCCCCCCCTCCCCCCCCCCTGGCCACGCCACGATTCGCGCCGGCGCCGTCTGGGAACGAGCCGCTCCTGGGCATTCCCAGACGGCGCCGCCGCGAATCGCGACGCTACTGGGCCCCCACCCGCTCACGCCCGTTATCGCCAGGGTCAGGTCGGGCCTGTCCCCAATACAGGGGGATTTTGAGCGAAAAATTGCAAATACCCAAAAAGTACTCCAAAATATTCAAAAATAATCGAAAAGTCGTCCACCGAGAGGGACAGGCCCGACTTATCGCCAGGGGATAATTACAAAAAACGCTCTCCACCGACCCTGATGTCGGATCCGCCGTACTCTGGTGGATGCTTCGACTTCAAACGGTGTCAGGAATGCGCCCCAAGCGATGGCGGAAGTGTCCGCCTCAGAAGAGTAGGGCGGAGATTTCCAGAGGCATGGCGGAAACAACGACGACAAAGCAGGGTGGGAATCGGCATCAGAGGAGCTTGAAAAGCAGGACGTGACTGTCCGCCCTGCTCAGGAGATCGCCAGAAGTGCGGCGGGTCCACCGTCAGGGGAGGTCAGCGGCGGCGCCCGATCTGTCAAGGAGGGACAGCGTCAGACAAGGGGGCACCGGCTCGGGCGGGAAACGTCGGCCTGGAATCGGCGATGCACCGCAGAGAGATCGGCGACAGGCTCTCGACAACGAACCCCCAACGCTCCTGGGCGGGATGGGCTATCAGGGCCCCGTCGGCGATCGATGGGCGATTCGGGGTCAATGTACACTCAACCCGCATAGTAAGGATGGGCAGCTTTCCCAAGGGTACCCTCGCATCCTTGCCTCCTCGGTTGGTGAAACAGCGACTTGCTGGGTGAGGTGGGATAAGGCGATTCAGTTTGGTACCCGAAATGGTGGTGTGGTTTCAGCATGGTCCCCAACCTTGGAGGTGTACTAAGTTCCAAGGGGGGCCGTTCGCACGTGGCCTCGGCCTAACGCACTAGGGGCGCAAGCCAACACCGTGAGTGCGCATGCGAGTTTCGGTCATTCGCCAAAGGCGAACCCGAACGGTCGCAATGTGCCAGGTAAGTCAGACGATGCAAGCGACCGCGTATATTGGGCATTGTTTGCGGCACGCGGTCTGGAGATCCCAGCCGCGCGCTACCCCTCATTGCAAGGTTTTGAAAGGTGTCGGCACGCAGTGCCATTAATGGGATGTGCCAGGGTGTCGAGCCAACAAATCCTTCTCCTCCGTCTCCCTCCTCCTCCTCTCGCTACTCCTGTCCCCTTTCCTACTCGTTCGTCCATCGTTCGCCCTCCTCCCCCTCTCGCTCCTCGCCCCCCTCCCTCTCCCCCCCCATGCTCCTTCCTCCTCCTTACTCGTTCTGTGTATCTCCTCTCCTCCCCCATGCCCCTCTCCTCCCCTCCCTCTCCCCCCATGCCCCCCCCATGTCGCTGTAGGTTTCTCCCTCCTCTCCTCCCCTCCCCTTTCCTCTCCTCCCCTCTCCACTCCTCTCCTCCCCTCTCCTCCCCTCTCCTCTCCTCTCCTCTCCTCCCCCCTCCTCCCCTCTCCCCTCTCCTCTCCTCTCCTCTCCTCTCCTCTTTTCTCTTCTCTCTTCCCATGTCCTCTCATCTCCTCGCCTCTCCTCCCCTCTCCTCTCCTCCTCCTCCTCCTCCCCCTCTCCTTCCCCCCCCATATCCTTCCATGCCCCCTCTCTCCCACGCCCCCTTTTGTCCTATATATCTTCTCCCCCCCAGTCCCTCCCATGCTTCCCCCCCCCCTTTCTCCCCACCCATGCCCCTCTCATCTCGTTCTGTCTATACCTCTCGCTCTCCCTCCTTCTCCCTCTCTCTCTCTCTCTCTCTCTCTCTCTCTCTCTCCCCTCCCACCCCCTGATATCTGTATATCCCTCCCTCTCGTGCCCACCCGCCCTGGGGTCACTCATCCCCCTCCCTTCTGATCCCTCGCTCTCACCCTCTCTCTACCCTCCCTCTGACAATGCCTCCCTCCCCCGCCCCTTCCCATGCCTATACATCCCTCTCACACGTACCACTTCCGTGTATCAACATGCATCTGTCCATTGATCCGTATTTGCATCATGCTGTCATGGAGCCGCATTTCGCAAGAGAATGCGCACGTCGCTCCACATCGAAGCTGCCACCGACTCGAGTTGAATATGTGCAGCAGGCAAGCTCGCACCGAAGGAACACGAGTGTTAGTCCGCGTGCCTTCGTACCTGCACACTGCTGTCGCACTGCCGCCGAGTTGCAGCACGCGCGTGACGTCCAGTTATGCTAGCCAACTTGGTCCAACACAAAGGCTATTGTAAAACAGCCGTGTTTCAACTATGTGATGCAAATGTTTGTACGTAGCAATGCACAATACATATTCCAATGATGTTTGAAGTTGGCTAGCATCACGGTCTAACAAAAACTGCGGCACGTATGATCTCAATTCCTATGGCGCCGTGCCGCGATGTAATGCCAATGCTACTCTGATGTTGGCGCCCGTGTGTCTGTTCAATCCGTGACGCCTGCATCTGCCACGAACTCCTTGAAAAACTTCATGCGGTTCTTGTAGACGGTCTCGCCCCTGCTGGTCATGTAGTCAGTATTCCATTTGGCGATGGCGTTGCGGATGGACTGGTCGCACTGGTCGGCGAACCACTTCTGCACGAACATTGGGATCACCAGCATGTGGACCCACTCCTTGGCATTGGCATCTCCCTTCTGCAATGGCAAGTACAACGGCGAGGCGACGTACCCGTACGGAATGAACGCCACATCGCCCATATCCATACTGAAGACGCAAGCTGATGGAGAGTCGGTGGTGTAGAGCATGTCGCCGCTGGCCGTCTCGAAGAACTGGGGGGCGTCTGCGAGGGCAATGCCTTGCTCAGTCAGCCCAGCCAGCTTGTGGACCTGGAAGAACATCTGGCTAGTTGGGCACGTGACAAACGAACCGATGCCTGAAAACGGCATCGCACACGGCCCCCACCTGAAGACCCTGGCCCGAACTGAGACGGTCCACGCCTCAGCACCCTCCTCTCTCTGTAGCGAGTTGTCGAACTCAGGTAAGTCATCGGTGGTGCGCTCCACGTCGCGTGCGAGCTTCCAGAAAGTAGTAACTGCACTCTTGTGCTTACTGTTCTTGGCCATGTGCTTGTCCAGCTCGTTGACAGTGGAAACGGGCCAGCCACCGCACGCGTGCACGTAGTTGGCGACGAAGTTGTGGACGGTCGAGCCGACGCTGTAGACTCCAGGAATCTCGCTGTTGAATTTCTCGGGCATGTCCATCATGTTCGGCAACTTGGCGGCGGGGCCCTTCTTCTTGTCTGGGTGTTTCTCGTCTGTATCCTTGGTGTCGCCGCCGTTCCCGTCCTTGGGATCCGCGAACTCGCCGTTGCGAAGAAGCTCCTCAACGACCCTCTTTGCGTTCATCTGGCCCCAGCCGCCAAGCGCGAGCAAGTCTTTCACCTCGAATGCGTCCCGCATGTGTCGGCGAAGAGCTCACAATCGGATATCACCAACACCGCTGCCACTTGATTTTGCAATCGAAACCTTGCCTCGATCGAGTGGGTCTGCAACCGAGCTTAGTAACAAACGGGTTGACACAGAAACGCCCGAGTGAGGGCGTCAAGTGGCCCGAACATACACCAGAAGCTGACTTTACTAGAGTAGCCCCCCCGTTCGATCGACGTTGGTTCGGGTTGGCAGGGGCGCTGACGATATCGACATTTGGAGTTCAGAAATGCCGAACACCCTCGGACCTATCAGTGCACTCTGCCTGTTAACGCCCGATGTTTGTAAACGTATTGCCGCCAACGTGGCGTTTGCTCTAATCCTACGTATCTGACCTACGATGCGAACAAAGCGTGCCAATACGCACCATACTCTGAACATCTAGACGTAGGTAAATAATCTCGTCGTGGAGCCGTGACTCCATTTCCCATACTGCAAACCCGAATCTGCCCAGTCAGGTCCCGACGACCCCCAATCAGAACAGAACTCTCCAAGGCGTTAGAAGACAATTGGGCCTGATGGTTCGAGGGAAGGCGCAGCCTTACGCTTCATGTAGGCCGTGTGGTTGGTCGCGGACTTGCCATCTTTCTTCGACGACTTGAAGTAGTACTCGAGTGCGGGGATGACGTGCGCAATCGTCTTCAAGACCTCCTCGTGCTTGGCCTTTGCGCCATCAACATCCGCACATAAGCCGCCGCGGCTCGCCAGGCGCATGCCCTTGACGCGGTTGACGATGCTCACCATGTTAGTGTTGTGGGAAGTGATGCTCTTCATTATGTTGTCCTGCGTATCTGGGAGTTCCACCTCGTCGGGACGACTCAGCTTCTGGAACAGCTTGCGGACCTTGGTGGAAAGGGGCTCCAGCTCAGCTACCATTGACTCGACATCTTTCTTGATCAGATCTTTCTCTTTCAGCCAGCCCAGGCACGAGTTTGACGGATCATCGACTCCCTTCTTGATGGGAAGCTTCTTGCTGACGGCCGTCTGGGCGTCCGAGACGCGGCTCCTGCTCCGCTGCTTGCTGTGCGGGGTGCGGTCGTCGTCGCCGTGGTGTGCTGAACGGCGAGACTGAGTCGTGACGCTGACGATTGAAGGCGACGGCGAGCTGCGGCGCCTGTAGCTGCGCAGGCTGCGACCGCGGGCTCGGTGTGAGGCCCTGCCGCGGCTGCCGCGGGGACTCTGCTCCCTCCTGCTGCCCCTCGGGTTGTGGCTAGACCGGGAGCGGTGCCGCACCTGGCGCTCCGAGCTCCGCGCCCGCGGCGGCGGCGACATGGAGACTGGT